TTTCAACAAAGAACTTCATGAGAATCACATTTGCTGGGAATTGAACAAAATAAAAAATCCTAACTTTTTTCATTCTTAGCAGTTTCCTGGAGTTCAAGCACTTTCTGCAAAAAGAAAAAAAGAATTTTATTTCCTCTTCTCGTGGTTGCAGTCAGCTGTTTGTCGACCTATTCCACCCGTAGGCCCATAAAATGTGCAGTTCTGCGCATTTGTCATCACGTCAGTTCCCTCGTAAATTATTCAAGAGCAATGAGGAAATTTCTATCTGAATGTACTATAGTTGTAACGAACAGAAATTTTTGCCGAATGAACGAATATCGAATAATCAATTTTTTAAAATTTTCCGAACGAATGAATATCGAATATTTGATTTTCGAAAATTCTTCGAATGAACGAATATTATTCGACTTTCGTTTTTCATTTTATTCGAATTTGAATATTCGAATATTGGCACATTCCAAAATTCGAATGAACGAATACTTGAATAACCGAACTTGATCGAATATTCGACTATTTTCGAATAAATGTTCGAATATTATTCGAATATTTGAACGCAATATTCGAATATTCGAATATTCGAATAACTATCTTTAAAACTACTCGAATGAATGAATATTCGAATAACCTTTTTTTTAAACTCCTCGAATGAACGAATATTCGAATAAGTCATTTTTCGAAATTGTCGAATGAACGAATTATTCGAATATAGGTCTTTTTCATTTATTCGACTATTCGAATAATCGAATAAATGGACTTTCTCAAATATTCGACTATTCGAATATTCGAATAGTCGAATATTTCGAATAAATTATTCGAACACGAATATTCGGTGCTAACTATAGAATGTACGCTTTGCACACATCATCTTCGTCAGTTCAGCCTATGATTCACGTTCAATTACGGGCAGCGCAACCTGACCATAACACTTGACCAGACGGTGTGACGGTTGAACTCACTTTCTTTTGGCATGGAAAGATGGGAGGTCGTAAAGAGTCCTACTCAAGAAGTTCTTCTGCGGTGGTAAGGGGGGGGGGAAGGGTATACTACGGGTCAAAATGCGACAATCGATGATTGTAAAATACGAATGAAGAAGGAAAATTCGAAGAGGGAAGTCAGTGCAAGTTGAATCTAGTTACAACCTCTGATCACAAGACGCTTTCGCGTTAAGTTCTGTTTCCGTCGCCTGCGGTGCGCGAAACTAGTCGGAAACAGAACTCAAAGCCACGTCCATCCGAATTCTCGAGTTTCATGTTTTTGTCGTTTCGAGGGCTTTTCATGTCCCTGATTCCAAATATGGAGTCGTGAACCTGCGAAAATCCCGAAAATCCCCGTTCCGGAGAACCGGCCTGCGGGTTCACCAGAACGGTGATTGGAGGGCGCGCAGGATGGGCGGGCATGGATGGGGAGGGCGGTGCCGTCTGGGGATCCTCGTGCATCTTCGTTATTCCAGAGCGATTTTCTCGCTTCCGAAGCGGCAATTTGCGCCGCGAATTGGCATTAGCTTGATAGGGGGCCCTACTATCACAAGCTGCCAAAAGCTCAAGACCCTCAACGTAGGGGTTGACGGTGCCTTTAAGCACCTCGTGGGTGCTTTCACCGACGCGTGAAACAGAATTGAAGTAGACTTCCTTGCTAATTTGTGGGATGCACTATCTCCAGAAGGTCGACGATGAGAAGCAATCCTGGATAGGAAGTGCATGGCATGCTCTTCAGAGAAAGTAGGATGACAGCAAGAAAAGCAAGATCGCAAGAAAAACAATATCTGGGTTACGTGGCCTACCCTTTCCTGGAAAATGTGCCATTGCACCATTAGCAAGGAAATCTATTTGATGTAGATTGGAAAAGTTTTTTAGTGCCGTCGGTATACAACTTTCAAATGTTCAAGGTATTGATTATTTTTTTTTCATTTCAGCGAGTATGATGTGTAAATACGGAATAGGAACTAAGTATGTAGTTGATGAGTACCTTTTAACAAGAAGCGCTTTTCAGCAAGAAAAGCTTATTTTTCTGAATACAGCATCCTCCAAGACACATTCTATTCCTTTGAATTTCAATTTCTGCAGTCCGCGAATAAAAGCAAAAATTGTAGAAAAGTCAGCATCATCAGAAAAACACTTTCTTGTAAGTTTTTGGTCTAACCAACTTGTTCCTTTGATTCAATTTTGATTTAACCAGTCACCTACCCAAGTGCAAGAATGGATTTCTCAACCCGCTTAATGAACTAAGGGTGTGAGTTTGGTGATGTTCATTGAGTTCAGCTTAATAGAGTTAGAGAATTTGAGAGATTCTCGCGAACGGAATTAAGAGTGCTGAGTGACGTGGTCAAAAGCATTTCCTACCGAAAAATTGCTCGAATTAGTGGTATTTTGAAAAACAAAGTATAGCAAAAGATGCTCTACACAATAGTCATCTAGAAGAAAGTGGACTTGTTTACAACACTTCGAAATATTACGATTTAGGTCTCTAAGAAATGATGAGTAATTTTAGCTCAGCCTTTCCTTTTTTAAAGCTAACTAAGATGTCTGCATTTTTGAAGCACTGACAGCCCAGATATTACTGCAATTTCTATGTGTTCGAAAACAAATCATCATTTTTGCTTTAATGAAATAAAATTTATTGCATCATCTAAGTAGTTACAAAGTTTCCATTGAAATTCACTTGAATTTCACAGATGTTTTTTTTCTAATTTTCAAAATAAGAAAATCCGCAATTCTTTTTTGGTATCGCTGGCTACCTAGAGATTCCAGCTGTAAATCCTTGCTAAAGAGGACTAAGTGCATAAATAAATGTACCCAGTGGCAAGACGAAACCTCCAATTTCATGCAAGTCCTCCCGCTTTAGTATCGAAGAATTTTGCAGTGTTAGCTCCTTGCTGCAGGCAGGAAGAAATCCCAATCTCAAAAAAGGCATTCGACTCAAGTTAGACTTCCACCTAGTCCTACATCCGTCATTCGCTTCCTTCATGAAAACTTTTCCTGAGCTAAAAGGAAGAGGAAAGGAATTTTCTTCGCTTTTTTTCAACTCCTTTATTTTTCGAACTCTTCTGAAGGGCCGGGCATACTTCACGCGATTTCAGTGGCAACGCGTTTTGGCAATTCGCCAGAACTCCGCAGATCCAACACTAGCGAACTGTACATACATAGTGTGTATAACTTACGTGAATTAATAAAATGCTCTATCTTCTGTATATTTGAAATGTGCTTACAGTGAGTTATGGACAGCTGGAATTTTGCCAAATCGCGTCGCAACTGAAATCGCCTGAAGTATGCCCGGCCCTTAGAGCATCATTCCTTCTCTCTCGGCATATAAAGCAATCGCACGTGGTCTGAGTTAATTTTCTTTTCATTCCTCCTAACAAAGAACAAAACTTGCTGGTTTCTGGACATTGAATTTTCCATGAATTCCAAATGAATGACTAGTAGTTTGTAATGAAAATGCGAAAATGAAAAGGCCGTCGGATTATTGCGAAAGTTTGATTGCAAATATGACAAGCCAATGTAGGAGCCTAATAAGCGTGCTATTTCCTTCAAAATTTCTAAGGCTCGAATTTTAACTTAGATGAATCAGAATTACTAATTTACACTCCCAATGAATGGTTATAACTTGACGAAGCAGCTAATAGTCTTCGACAATATTTTTCGGTTTCTTGAATGTGCCTCACATTTTCCAGCAATTAAATGCTTTCTTAAATCGATGGAAATTCAAATACATTATAGTTTAGCTTGGCACAAAATTGCTTAGTTTGATCAAAAACTACTACAGCTACTCTTCATTCTAAAGCAAATCCAAGAAGATATAAAATTATTCATCTTCTTTGAAATTTTGATTTGAAAACTACATTTTTGAAAATGATATCATTTTGTATTTTCCAGATAGACTCAGCTGCACATTAGGAGATGGCGTACTTTTTATTGCTTTGACCTAATCAGTTTTCAGGCTGGTTGGTTGCACCCGCAAAAAACTGAAGCCGTTATTCTTTTTTTGAAATAATTTTGGATGAAATTTTGAAAAAAAAAATTCAATTTTGGTGATCGTTGGCGGTTTCGGAAAATTCAACTAAGCTATCTCAGTTATTTACTTTATTTACTTAATATTCCTCTAACGGTGAATCGAAGGTAGCTATTTCTTGCAGTGGCGAAAATTTTATTTGAACCAAGGGGGGGGGAGGGTTGAGGGAGGGAAGGAGGAGGTAGAGTAAAAGAAGATCAGAAATTTTTGTGAAAAGGTATGGGGTTAGCCATGTTTCAGAACTGTCCTTAGGATGCTTCTTAGATTTTTGCGATTCCAAGAAATTTTCCAGGGCTCACTTGATTTTGAAAAAGTTAAAAAATTATTTTAACAAAAATTGATGTTATATGACTCATGCAGATCACTTTTGAAATTTGCCTCGTCTTCAGCCCGTTGATTGTTTCTCTCTAACATTTTACCAAATTTGTAGTGGTCTCAAGTCTATCCATCTCGAATTTATTTAAAACTTGCAATTCTAAGAATTTTGATGACGCTTAAAAGCAAAAGGAATTTTTCATTATTCATGAAATCCATTAAAATTATTTTGATTGAGAAAAACAAAACTAACCGTTACATTGAAACTTGATTCATTTTGGCATTGATTCAAAAAATTATATAGACGTTAGTGAGCTTTGAAAAGTATTTTGGTTGCACCAAAAAATTCGAGAAGCATCTCGACGAGAAAGCCTCGCATTTTTCTTATCAGAACTTGGTTCAACGAAATAAATTATTTTGACGACATGTAGATCAGATACGGTTTTCGGTTCCTTCACCACCAGTATTTCCCTGTTGTCGGAAAGGACCCGCAGCAGAATCTGGTGACGAGGAAATTGTACTTAATCGAGCATCCGCAAATAGCCACGTTGTATAGAACTTCCCAACCCAAATAGGGGGTGTGGGTGGGTGATTTGGAGAAATTGCTATGAATACAGTAGCAATTTAACGGTTTGCAATCATCACTTGGCTAATTTCACGGCACCTGCGCCCGCCACCTCACCGCACACCCCGCGGGGAGTTCGGAGAGCCAGGACGGGGCGGAGTCGGGTATAAAAGCACTGATCGTCCACTTGGACAACGCTATGATTCACTGTCTGCTTCTATTCGCACTGGTTTGCACAGTGCTCTCCACGGCAGATGCACAATCACCTACTTTTGACCGACAGGACCGAGATTATCGCCCGTTACAGGTTAGCCGAGCTACAGTACCTCCTAAATTCTTTAGAGCGATTTTTGCTAGGCTAAATCCCCTTACAAGGGCAGGATACCTTGATCGAAGCGGTGTTTCCATATGAACTGTATACTATCCTATAGAGCATCAAATGCTGGTTCCAAATCTGTTTTCCTTATCTGCCAAGCGGTTCTGAGAGGGAAGTTCTGGCAATTTTTGAGTTAAAAATTCAATGATTTGGATAGGGTAGAAACAGGTGTTGAGGTCTTTTCGGCGCTTGAAAGGAGTAACGAATGGTTTGAGTTTATTATATTGAAGGTATTTATTGCATAAAAACCTCTGGTATAATCATGCCCCATTTGAGTTCACGGACTAAATTTCTGAATGATTTTTATTGTAGCGGCGCTAAATTTTTGCATCAAAAATTCTCATAACTCGTCTCCAAGAAGCGCTTTGCAGATAAGGAAACAGATTTGGAATCAGCATTTTATGTTCTAATAAAACAGTAAACCTTCCATATGGAAACGCCACTTCGATTATTCTTCCCTTGTTAGTTCGAAATTTTCAAGATTTTGTCCCATCTCAACCCTAACAAATCCCAAATTTGCAAGAACTTTATTGGTATTGCAAGGCTAACTCTCAAAAGTCAGGCTGCCTGGCACTAACTAATTTAGATTTTGTAGTCCTTTGTCTGACACCGAATGGGTTCAATTCAAACTGCATGACTGACATTGAAATTTGCTATTCAGATGAACAGATTCAAAATTTCTAAATGAGAACCACCTGAAATTTTTTGATTAAATTCTTTACTGATACTTTACTGCAGATACTCACATTGCTTAAAAGCTTCTAATCTATGGAAATTTCGCGAGAGTTCAGGACTATAAGCAGTATTGTAATCTGAAATTTTTCAAAGAATTGAGATTGTGTGAGCTTTTTCATTCCATGATTTTACATAGTTTTGGATCGTCTATCGTAGAAGCAGTTAAGGAATTTTCCTTAGAAATTAACCTGCTTTGATAAAAAAAACAATAGGTGTGTTATGATTTTTCAATAATGACTTCAAGCTTTCTTATCAAAAACTAAACGCACATGATAATTCATTCATAGTTAGAAATAGACTTCGTAGTTAGAAATAGACATTTTTGTAACCTCCGCATCTCAAATGCTAAGATCTTCAAAATCTGTTGAAATTAGGCAGTTTTCCATCGTGAAGGCTAACTAGGTCAATTTTTTGTTTTTTGTCTAATTATGCTTGTCATGATATTTACAGTTATAAATTCGGTTAAAACAAGTTGATACACCCTTTGTAGTTCAAAATTTAACATATTACCTCCAGCTATTTTTGCTGAAGCGTAAAAAACGCTGAGTCGCCTATTGCTGTCCTATCATTAAATTATTGCAAGCACTCGGATTCTGACTAGTTTCTATTGCGTAATGTCTAACAGCGACTGCGAGCGATTTGCTAAATCGTACGTTGAAAAATAACTTCCTCAGCGACGAAAATTGTCCGTCTGAGATTATTTATGGTGTGGGCTAGGTAGAGGTCGCAGCATTCTTACAGCCACACTACGGAGAAAGAACTTTGTTTGTGAAGCAAGTTCTAGCCCTAAAGGGGATGTTTTGAAATTTACATACTTGTTGGATTGTAGTTGTTGACCTACATTCTCTAGCAGGTGTACTTTTGGAAGAAAGGGTAGCGGGAATAGGTGATAGGCTATGCATTTTTGAGGAACAATTTCTACTCAAAGGTTCTGGTAATGTGCTTGCTTTTTAAGCAGACGAGAAATCACAGCAAATTATGAAATCTTACTTGCTGTGTCTTATATTTAAACAATCTTATAATTAGAGAACTTGCACTTTCCTAAAGGATGATTTCGTCCAAATATTGGCGCAAAATCTCAATTTTTATTGCCGTGAAAGCAGAAAAAATTCATATTGGATGGTCTTAACAAATCTTTTACTAGCATTTAAGAAACGCTTGTCTTCCGATACAAATGGAGATTTTGGCTATGCCTTTGCCACCGTAATAATATTTTTATTATATAAAGAATAATAAGGCCAATTCAAAATCATCAAAAAGCGGGAAACTGCGGCGCGGTCCCGAAGAGAACGCTCTCGCAAATAGCACCTTTAATTACTGGTTCACTAGTCTAATATATGAAGAAACGTAAGCGCATCTGATATATAAAGAATCGTTAGCTCAGTTTAAAAATCTTCCAATAGCGGGAAACCGCGGCGGGTCCCGAAGCAAACGCTCTTCCGAATAGCGCCTAGTTAATGGTTAATGGTTTACTAGTTGTCGAAAATACTTGTAGATGATTTACGATTGAGTATCTGTGCAGAACATTGATTTTTTTTACTCTTGGCGAAGTTGGAAAATATTTTCACTCTCAGTGTCTTGACAAGTTGCTCATCTATGTTTCCAACGTGAGTGAGTCTGTAATCAAAGATATTTGCGTCATTAAGTTGCAGAAAAAGGTCAATACTCAAAGTTATAGAATTTGGAATGAAGACCTGATAAACGTTTATTAATCTTGTATCCCTTTAATCTTGTTTAAGATTAATATGTTGCTTTAGCTGAAGCTCACACGGTCTGCGCAAAGTTCTAGAATGTCTATATGGGAATGACCACTTGCGAAAAATAGTGGGCCAATCTTCTACCAGTACACACCTAGATCTAATTGGGTCGAATGCCAAAAGGAATTGTGAATTCGTAAGCAATTATTTTTTGGAGTGACCGGAAGTAGCTGATTAATGAGTTCAGCTAATGGGACGGGCATACTTCACGCTATTTCAGTCGATATGGCAATTTGCCAGAAATGTTCAGATCTAACACTAGCAAACTGCACATGCATAGTGTGTATAACTTACACGCTTTAATAAAATGTCCTATCTTCTGCACATTTGAAATGTGATTACAGTGAGTTATGGACAGTTGGAACGTTGCCAAATCGCGTCGCGACTGAAATCGCGTGAAATATGTCCGGCCCTTAAAGTGAGCCAAAGTAGTCATTTAGGTAGTTGTGGTATAAGCTCCATATAATTTTGATTATGATACATTATTCCCAAATTAAGTAGAATGTAGAAGGGCAAGTACTCCAAACGGTTTTCTCTCTATAACAGCCATAATTTCCAACCAAATCACTTCGTAATTGCTAAGATATTTGCAGAAATTTCAAACCCAAGTGCTTCCCGTTCAAATTCTAGGTTTTTCAGAAGCGTCAAAATTCTTTAGATATGGTAATTTTGTAAACGCTTGATAACTTCGAAATCAAGCTCCATATTCTAAAGATTTTGTAGGTTTTGTTTTGAGCGATATTTTTTTGCAAATTTAGGGTTTTTGGAAAATGATTTCAAAAAGCCTCAAATGCTAGTTTCGGAAGACCTAAGAAGTGGTTTCCATTAAGCGGGGCCTGGTTGGTTTTTAGGTAATCGAGTTGTTTGGAAACCCATGATTTGCGAAAAGTTCCAATTACTTTTTGACTCAACCTAACACAAACACACGTCATGTCAAACTCTCCCACTTTTCCGCTTGCATCATTTCTTCATAAAAATGTTTTCATTTCATTTCCAAATGGGAAGAATTTTACGGTTGATTACTCTGTCATGTGTTTGCTTTTTTAGTCAGATAGCTTGTCTTTTAAGATTCTGTTTTGAGATCATAAATCGGATTTAACGCACTCCGCAAAGTGCCGCTTGAGCTCAACTGTCAGCTGAGTGTAAGCAGATCATCACACTAAGCTATTAGAAGTGAGCTATCCCCATAGTAGTGAACTTAGCACGAAGACATTCTGAGTGCTCTTCTCAAAAGAATTGTGAAAATCGATAGCACAAAACCTTTGGGTGAAAATTCTTAGTAATTTTTTTCAAGATTTAGAACAACGTTTTTTGTTTGTGAAGGTTGAAAGGTCACTTGGTGCTATTTTTCCCAGCAAAAAGCTACTGCCATAGCTGACACGACGAATTATCAAGATACTGTATTACCTGACAGTTACGGTAACTTACAGTATGCCACCATCTGAGCAGATACCACAATCTAGCTCTAGGACTATGCTGTGATTCGTAGTACACAAAATGTCCATAAAGCCAGCAAAATTGCAATATGGCAATTTAAAAAAAAAGGAGAAACCCCATTTAGCCAACCCCATCAACTTTTTGATCTACGGCTTAATCTAAAAATAATCCTTTTGCACCAAATTTATAGTAGAAAACACAGAAAAGCTATAAATATAAGTCCTTTATCGACTAGTCTACATTCCAGACTCATTAAACTCTTAAGACACGTGTGATTGTAGCAATCTCCAATGCAAATCACCTCTTCATCGTCAAAGGGTTAAGTGTTAATTGAATTCCGTCACAAGACATCATTAGACTACGCAAAAAGTACAAGGAACTCCCTAGAAAACAATCCCTTCACTAATCGACAGGAACTAAATTTCACAATAGGTAGTAATGATGCATGGTGTAGAAAGTCTCTTGCGGTCCTAGGCAGAAGTGCTTTTGCTACCGAAGTCATAAAGTTTGAATACCGAGGTTTTCTAATTAGTGGAAGTGGATCAGGTGGTGGCTGTGATTGAAATGTGGTGGCGTCTGGTCATAAAATCGCTCAACCAAATCGTGCAAAGTGTCATTTTCGGCAAAACATGAGCTGCGAAAGAACTATGGGCTAGAGCAGGGATGCAGGGAGTGAATTTTGCGTGTAAAAGAGAAAAAATCAAAAATATTATTTTTATCTAAGGTTTTTCTTGACTTCCACGACTACGTGACTATTTCTTAAAGCCCAAATTCTTTATTTTCTCTTGGTTACAGGATTGGATTGAAGTTCATTGGGTGCACTGAGAGAATATCCTAGCATGACGTAATCCTAACAAAATAAGATTAGAAGAAGCGCAAACAAATGTTTGCCGGTTGTTTACAAAAACAACAACAAAAAATTTGAATTGAATTTCTAAACCGCAGCATCGTCGTTTCAATTCTGTTCTGCATTCTGACAAGCTTATATCGAGTCGACGAAGTTTGCAAATTTGATGGAATTGGAAGTTATTTTGGCAGGGACCATACATTTTGCTCTATGCATTTCCTTGAGCATTTTTTCTGAATCAAAAAAAAATGAAATTTTTCTTCTTTACGAAAATTAAGGTGAGCTGAATAACGTGAATCACAACGTTTTTGAACAACTAAATAAATGTAAATGATATTAAGTTCTGAAATGTATACCATCCATTAATTTGACAGGCTACATTTCTGTCGTTGTGATAGAGCTGAATATTATTTTCTTTAAATAAAAACTAAATTCACTCCTCCAGACTCTCTCTCTAAAATTTTCCTGGTGATTGCAATTAGTCCCAAACACTGGCTGAAGTGTTTTTGTTTCTGAAGGGTATAGTCGCTTTCCCTGCAATTTGTTGCTTATAATCATAGAGGGAGACAAAACGCTTTACCCACCATTGAACTCGAATATGTAGGTAAGAAATGACCCATGTCACGTCAATGGCTGGAGCTTTGAACTCAGATGCTGCAAATAGGGAAGATAGCAATAGTTTTTCTAGTCTACAGTGAGGTGCGATATAAATATTAATATGATATGCAAGCAACTGCAAAGTTTTTTTTTCAATATTCTCTTTGAACGGTTAGTTCCAGCATGCAAGCTTTTGCCTTTTTTGGTGGTGTCTCTTCTTCGGAGTCGTAAAATTTCTTCATAGTAAAAAGATTTTTAATTGAATCGGACGGGTGGTAAATCATATCCTGCATTTTTTGATCAAATCCAATTTTCAAATGGACAAGTCTTCAAAAGATTTGAGCTGGCTAGCAACGGTGAAATCATTTTCTGGACAGCTCTTCGGAAATTATAGGAGTTTAGGGTTCCATACTGACATGAGTGGGCATAACTTTATGATTTAGTAAATTTTGACAAGTGTCCTAAGCCTCCCAATTTTTCCTAAAGGTAGCGACTCGGCAGAATGACACCTTTGGGATATTCACGTTCTCGGCTCCCCTGGATGCGCTAAATCCAAGACTGTGCTTTGCAGCTTCAGATAACGATAACCTGCTTTTTACAGGCGTGAAAAGTGCTATTTGGGCGGACCGCGTATGCCTGCCTTCTAGAGCGCGATTGGCCCGTGGGTACGGTGGGTACAGTACATATCTCCACTCACAAGCCAATCGCGTTCTAGAGGTCAGGCTTACGCGTCTGGAAAAGCGGGATTGATAACTTAGCTCATCCAGGTGGGCTGAGAACAATAATTTCCCAAAGATGTCATTCTGCTGAGCCGCTGCCTTCAAAGTTCCCCAGGGGTAATGTGAAATACAAGTGAAGAAAGAACACCTAATAATAAGTGTTTTTTAGTTTGGCAAACGAGATGGCTATCGACCTCTACAGTTCGGCAAACGAGAATACCGACCACTACAGTTTGGCAAGAGATCACCGTTAGCAGCCAGCGCATACCTCGTGCCAGCTCTGTGATTTGTTTGTCGACACGTGTGATAACTGTTATCTCGCCCCGCCCACTTCTATGATATAATCTGTTTATGATTGTGTAACGCATTGTTTCGAGTCGCTCTATTCCCCCGATTGCTCCTCCCTCCCACCTCGACCCCTGACTGACACATTAGCGACTGGAAATAAAATGATCACTTGTTGATGATCTGGTAATATCAAGATGTAGATACTACGGTTATTAGAGTTGAGTATGGCCATTATGAATATGGTACACCCTATGATACAGTAATCCCATCCACAGCCTGCTACGGTAGCTCGTGCGAAAGGTTCGAACTGCGCGCATCACACTGCGGTGCCTACCCAACGATAAGGAATCTTTGCGCAGTGACATTGGAAAGATATATTAACTATAACTTTTGGAACTCACATTGCCCACAGACGATGTGGTCAACAACCTCTAAATCGTTCGAAAAAATACATATTTGCATTATACAAACAGACACACGCATACAGATACAATAACACACTGATTTCAATAATCCTTGACTTCCGCACAAGCGTAAAATCCTGAAGCAGGTTCAGATGATGAAATTTTCGAAGAAAGATTTCAAGAGCTTATATCATGAGGGGCGATTTTTGTCGTCAGGTGGACACCAATCAGCCATTTTTAGTATTTTATGAAGTTCTAGAAGCAATCAAAGTTTCTAACAACATATACATGATCGTTCCATCGGCTGCTCGATCTTACTATTCCGAAATGGATTCAACAAGGGGGGGGGGGGGGCAAAAAAAACGTGAAAATGCAGCTAATGGCGTTTTCGTGAATATTTCAATCAAAATTCGACCAAATGCCACCAAACTTAGGAAGTGGTAGCTTCGGATGCCTAGTAAGCTAGAGCACTTTGTGCGATAATTTTTATAGACTCATTTAGCCCTATACTGGGCTGTTTTAATCGCGCCTTTTGACCATCTCTCTGAGTAAATGGGGTTTATAAAAAGTAATGGATCTACTACTCAAGTTCGAAAACATCAAATTCAACAATCAAGATGTTTGTTTTATGCATTCAAACTGCGAAACTCGCACTATTTGACTGGTATCTACTTGAGATCCATCGGGATTAAGTTCCACGTTTGTTTGCCTGCCTGTAAAAAAGTTACGAATAGCATTTCTTGCCACGCTCTATCAAACTTTGTATACGCCCTACGGGCGCAGTCGAAAAAGGACCATAAACAGTTTCGGTTTATCGGCCGTTATCAATTTTTGGTGTTTTTTGCGGACTTTCAGGGAGGTCTGCAACAGGAATATTCATAGTTAAGATCATCTATCGCTTTTCCGAGTTTTGAAGATCAAGCTGTGAAGCTGAACTGGTAACAGGTGTGAATGAAATTTTGAGTAAAAGTATACATTCGCAAAAAAATCCTTCCACCATCAGATTCTCCGATTTTGGATAGAGATCGATACTGCTTGAATGGGTGAGTGAAATTATCAGAAAGCATGTTGTTGGCTTACCCTATTTTCAGGTGTATAAGGCCGCACCCTTTTTACTCTAGAGGCGCACACGTCAAAAGACTGCATGTTACGATGGGGCGCGTTAACTGAGAGCAATGTGCGAGAAAGCGACCGCTTCGCGCGGCACATGCGCAGCGGCACGCCTGGGTCTGCTCGCGTCTAGAGCAAAAAGGGTGCGGCTTATACATCTGAAAATAGGGTAATATAGTCCATGGATTTTTTTTACTCTAAGCGTAAGGTCAAAAATAGCATACATAGTCGGTTAACAAAAAGATTGCAACCATTCTAAATCTGACTTCCTCCATTGTTTTCACTGTGACTTCGTACCATTGACACTGAAAGTAGACCTGTTTAGGAAGCAGGTCACTATACCAGATTTTATGATAACGTGTCGATAGAACGGGCGAAACCAAATGTGCCAGCTAAGATCTGAGCGCACTAAGCTACTGTGAGGAGCATAGCAAATCTGTGTAGAGCGGGTCGAATATTTAACACCGAAAAACTTACAGAAATGAATACCGTAGAACTTACCCGCCTAGCACACTGGTGAGAATTTTAGTGTAAAGGTACAGGATACGGCATGACGAAGGCGCAGAAGCACTATTGGTTGAGCGGGCGCGTACGCGACGCGCGGTATCCTGACCGTTGTACAGTCTGCTCCAAGCGGGATCAGGCCGAACCGTCGGCATAAATGTGCGCGCTCGCAGCGCTGGCAGTCTGCGTTGCATATGCGAGCAGACTGCCAGGAGAGAGCAAAAGGATTAAAGAGAGAGCAAAGAAGCAGGCCATGGGCGTGACCGCGAAACCCTAGCGTGACCGCGGACTCCTGCCATGCCAATTTTGGCCTGGTTGGGATTGGGGCAGACTGTAGATCCTTTGGCTCATGCCTCTGCGGCTAATAAAGCCGCGGCGCTCAAAATATTGCGTTCTTCATGCAGCAGCCTACAATAACGGAGATGCCTAACACTACTCGTCGACTCTTCTCATACGCCGTCATGGTGCTGGTGCTGGCACTAACTTCGATGAGCGTCACTCCCGCTCTATGCGCTGCGGTACAGTTTGAGACCGAGTTTGAGTGAAGCCTAGCATGGAGTCTGAAGTAAATGTGTTCTTTCCTAAAAGACCGCAACACTGCCTTTGAAGGCAGTGTCCAGGTAAAAAGTCGATTTTGAGATTTTGTGCTTACCCGGGCCTATTCACTATGCTGAACCCGAAAACCCGCATGGAGAGCGCGAATACGGCGGAAAGGGCTTTAACGCAGGACGGAAACCAACAGGTGGACGGGGTCTTCCCCATCTGAATTCACGCTCCCAGCCTCCAAAGCAATCTTCTCGGTTCCGATTAAAGGCAGTGGATCAGCAGAATGGACCTCTGTCAGAATTTCGGTAGTGTTAGGTAGTAGACCCTATACTTGGGACCGAATCGAATGATTATTCGATCATTCGAATAAATCATTCGAATGCGAATTCGAAAAGTCGAATATTCGAAAATCTGAGATTTCGAATAAAATTCGAAAGTCAAATATTTGAAATTTCCAGGATTCGAATATAATCGATAGTCGAATATCCGAAAATCTTCGTTTTCGAATATTATTCGAAAGTTGAATATTCGATGGTCATCAAGTCGATCATTCGATGTCCAGCGAATATTCGAAAATTCGGCAAAAATTGTCTATTCGTTTAATAAGCACCGAATATTCAAAAATTCGATATGCATGGCGTATACGGGGTTTTCTAAAAGTACCTACACGCCGTTTGATCGCTAGTACCTCTCACGAAGTCTTTTGCCAATTTTTGGGTAACATCCACTAGGAATGGCTTCAGCTTACAAATACAGCAGAAAGCGAATCACCCATGTTTTTCTTATTGTGATGGAAGGAACTTCCAGCTCATAGACCAACTGTAAAGACATCCAAAAGAATTCCCCCTAAAAAGATCTAAAATCTGTGTAGCAGCGTTACGTATGCTAATTTTACTACGCACGAGTTTTCAAGCTTTTCAAATAGCCACATTTTTGAAAGGCGTTACAAATATTACGGTGTACCTGACGTAAGTTTTGAAAAATGCATTACGCTTGAGTGCAAATTCTACATAGAGTGAGTGTCTTTAGAAGTCTAATGCAACACTTTCGGCCTTTTTATCCTTTTTCTTGTGAAAATGGCTCTTGATGTTTCGGAACCCTATTCAATTTTAAGGTAATTTTACAACAGTGAAAAGCGATAAATCGATTGAATAAACTGATAAATTGCTTCATACTCTAAGTTGATGTCAGCTTACAGATCTACACAGTGCTGAGACCCCTGTATATCATTCCGCAATCATATAATCTTCTTTGAAGTACAAAAAAATCTCTTCAGAACCGTCAGTAGCTCTTAGGTTCCCAGTCTCTTCGCGTCACGACTAGACCGTTTTTCCGAGATTGTAACTTAAGAAAGTGTCTATTCTTGACACTTGCATGAAACAACATATTCTTGGATGGTTTAGCCCCTCATAGGCAGTCTCAATGACATAAATTATTCGATCAGTATTCGAAAATCGAATTTTTTTATCCTTGTCTTCCCTCAGAGGGGATCTGCTGCTCTGGTTAGTCTCTTCCAGACTTCTCGATCTTCAGCTTGATCTTCTTCTATCTCAAGTTCTCTCAAGTCCGCTTCCACTTTGTCTATCCATCTCAATTTCGGCCTCCCTCTTGGCCCTTTCCAGGTACTTCGACTGACATCACCCACCTAGCGACATGATCTTCCGCTCGTCTTCTAACGTGTCCATACCATCGCAATCTCTTCTCTTGTATCTTCTTGACGATAGGGGCGACCTTCATTGTAGCTCGTATGGTGTCGTTAGTGACGTGGTCCAGAATCGTGACTCCCGCTGTCCATCTTAGCATGCGTGTCTCCATCACACCAATCCTTCGTTCGTCTTCTCGCGTGCACGGCCAACATTCGCTGCCATACAGAGCAGTCGGGCGGACTGTAGTGCGATACAGCTGGGATTTTAGCTTGAGTGGCATCTTCTTATCGCATAGGTCTCCTGTGACACTTCTCCATTTCGACAAGCTGCATTTATTCTGCTGGTTATTTCGTCCTGAAGCGTACCATCTGCGGCAATGCGACTTCCTAGATACTTGAACGTCGTGGTCTTCTTAATTGGGTCGCCTTCGATTTCTATAGTTCCAGGCGTTTGAGGTCCCACCTCCATGTACTCGGTCTTGCTGGTGTTGATCTTCAAGCCGTGCAGCTCAAGTTCATTTTTCCACTTCTGCACCTCGGCCTCCAGTACGTTCCTGCTTCTTGCCATCAGCATCACATCATCTGCGTACATCAGAGCCCACGGAGGTTGCCGTATGAAGTCTCTAACTATCGTATCCACTACCGTGATGAAGAGGAGGGGTGACAGTACGGAGCCTTGATGAACTCCGGCGTTGATCTGGAACTCTTCTGATGGCCCTGCTGCTGTTTGTAAGTGGCTTCTGGCATCTTTGTATATCATCTTGATCCATCGCACATATTCTTCCGGCATTATGTGCTTTCGTAGTGACCACCATATGATGTCATGCGGCACTTTATCGAACGCCTTCTCCAAGTCCAGGAACGCCGCGTGCAGCTCGCATTGCTTTTCCCTGCTTCTTTCCATCATTATTCTGACAGCGTGAATGGCATCTGTTGTACTGCAGCCTTTGACGAATCCACACTGGTTAGGGACTAGCTCCACGATGTTTCGCAGTCGTGCTTCTAGAATTCTTTCGAAGATCTTCAGGGTGTGGCACATAAGTCGGATGGGGCGGTACGTCGAGCAGTCAGCTACGTCACCTTTGTTCTTCCATATTGGTACCGTCACGCTTCTGCACCAGTCGTTCGGAATCTTCTTGGCTTCTATCACCCGATTGAGCAGTCGTGGTAGCCATGTAACTCCAGCTTGACCACATGCTCTCCAGAATTCGTTGGGGATGTCATCGGGGCCTGTCGCCTTGCCGTTCTTCGTCTTCATTATGGCGGCGCGAACTTCGTCTTCGGTGATAGTTGGAACTGGTTCATGCGCAGGCTCAGCTGTAGACGTCAATGTGTACTCGTGGCTCGTAGACGCTGTCTCGTCGAAGTGTGCTCTCCATCTTTCTCTTATCTCTTGTGGCTTCCTGAGCATTTTCCCGTGTGCGTCCTTGATACTGTAGAAGTGCTCTACATCTCTTGTGGCGATTGATCTTGTTTTCGCGAGTCGGTAGATGTCTCGTTCGCCTTCTCGAGTGTGCAGCTTCTTGTAGAGTACCTCCATATACGCTTCTTTTGCCTCTTTGACACTCTTCTTGGCTGCCCGCTTCGCGTCTGAGTATCTCTGCCGTGCTTCTTCTGATTTCAGCTTCTGCCACATTCTGTACGCTGTCTTCTTCTTCTTGATCATGGATTGCACCTCTTCGTTCCACCACCAGGTTTCTTTGTCAATTTTTGCCCTTCCTGGCTTCGTACGTCCTAGTAGACTGCTTGCCATCTGATGGACATTCTTCTTCAACTTCTTCCAGGAGTCTTCTGATTCTTCTTCCAACTCTGGTAGGGCAGATTCCATGGCTGCTCTGATGTGGTCGTTGTCTTTGAGCTTCCACCATTTGATCCGTGCTACTTGCCCTGTTGTTGTTCTTTGCTTGTCGGCTGGAATATTCAGATCCAGAATTAGTGGTCGATGTTGTGGTATGCAGTCTTCTCCGGGTATGACCTTGGTGTTCTTCACATACTTAAGCTCACTTTGTCGTACTGTCCAAAAGTCTATCTGTGTCTTCCGATTCCCGCTGGCGTACGTGATGAGATGACTATCCTTCTTTACGAAGTATGTGTTTGCCAGTGCCAAGTCATGCGCCGTGGCGAACTCCAGAATACGTTCTCCTTCGCTGTTACGTGTTCCGTATCCGTGATTACCACGACACTTGCTTGTACCACTTCGTTGTATACCTACATGCCCGTCGAAGTCTGCTCCTATTAGTAGCATCTCGTCGCATGGTATCGAGTCGATACAGTCATCGAGCTGCTTCCAGAATTCATCCTTCTCTATCTCAGTGCACCCAACTTGTGGCGCATATGCGGTTACGACTCGTAGAATTCTTTTCCCCATATCCATTCTGATGCACATTAGTCGATCACTTAATCGATCCACGTCCGTGATTCTACTTCTTAACGCTTCTGAGACCACTATACCGACGCCGTTCCTGTTGTTGCACGTTCCTTTTACAGAAGCTTGCACCCGTCACCTATGTCTCGTGACTTCTCTCCTTTCCATTTTGTCTCCTGAATACAGGCGATGTCAACCCTACGTCTTCTGAGAAGATCAGCCAACTCGCGATGCCGTGAAGTGAGTGATCCTACATTGACGGTGGCTAGACGTAACGCTGAGAACTTGAATACTCGCCTACGGTGAGCTAGCTTCTTTAACCGTCCCCGCTCACCCTGCTGGAACGGTAACCTTAGCATACTGTTCGCATCCGTCGGGCTCGAATGCGCGTCGCCTCCAGGGAACGCTCTAGCTTTTGTTCCGAATACCTGATGAGACATAAAAGAGCATTTGATGCGACCAATGTCTTCTTCAGCCGGCTTGTCGCTTGGGTTCCCTTTGGATTAGCAGCCTGACGCTGGATTCGTGGGGCGAAAGTTTTGCCAAAGAGATTAGGCCCACCGCGGAACCGAACCTGTGACCTTCCTCGCCGTAGTCAAGGGCACTAACCTCTCGGCCACTCCGCCCCCTTATTCGAAAATCGAGTAACATTCGAGAACCGAATAATATTCGAAATGCGAATAACGAATGATATTCGATATTCGAATATTATCCGATTCGAAATTTCCATTTTCGAATAGTATTCGATAGTCGAATATTCGAAATTTTCAATTTTCGAATAACGTTCGAAGGCCGAATATTATTCGAAAATGGAATACATTCGAATGTTCGAAAATTGAATATTCGAAATATTCAATTTTCGAACATTATTCGGTAGTTGAATATTCGAAAATTTGGATTTTCGATTATTATTCGATATAGAATATTCGAAATATTCAATTTTCGAATATATTCGATATTCGAAAAAAATTTCGAATTTCCCCAAGTATAGTAGACCCCCAGAATACACCGTAGCCCCAACCCCAACCTCAAATTCATGCGCTAAGTCCTGAAAAACGCCTCAAACTTCCACCAATATCGCCCACTCAATGGAAGTGGGCGGGGCTGATGGAGTTTTGAAGCTTCTTTACAGGAATTAGTGCATGAATTTGAGGGTGGGGTTGGGGCTACGGGTTTCTTCATACTACGCCGCGTGCGCTGCTCACAGTGAAAATACGCCCATGGCGGCACAATCTTGCTATAAACACTCGGAAAACACAGGGAGTAACGGATATAGAAATACAGTGATAGACAGTGCTGCCATAGGCGTATTCTCGCCGCGACTGCAGCAGTGTACGTTGCGTGCTGCGTACTGCCGTATTAGGTTGTACACCCCCGAATACACCGTAGGGTTCCTTTACTACGCCGCACGCGGCGTACGCGGCGCACGCGGCGTAGTATGAGGGAACCCTACGGTGTATCCGGGGGTTTACTACCTAATACTACCAAAAGTCGATAGAGGTCCCATCTGCTGATCCACTGCATTTATCCTATTTTCAGGTGTATAAGCCGCACCCTTTTCAGTCTAAAGGCGAACACGCCAAAAGACTGACTGTCATCATGGAGCGCGTTAAGTGAGAGCAGTATGCGATAAGGCGACCGCTTCGCGAGAGGTAGGCGCGGCGGCACGCCTGGGTCTGCTCGCGTCTAGAGCAAAAAGGGTACGGCTTATACACTTGAAAATAGGGTAAGTCATGCCTTCGCATTTGACCGGTGGCGATGTCACAGCGGCTAGCGGAATCGAGGAGATCGTTCCGAAAGCCGGAACGTGAATTCGCTCTGGGTGAGACCTCGCCCATCGCTGATTTCCCTACTGTGTTGGAGCCCTTTCTCGCCGTTTTCGCGCTCTCCATGGTTTTCGGATTCAGCATAGTGAATACGTGGTGGTTCAGTGGGATTCCTATGCCCTTTTCGTGCCCCTGACAACACTAGAGGGATTAGATGGATTTATTCAGCAACAAAATAAGCCGGTATCTCCGGCACACAACAATATCAAGAGTGCGAGAACATCGGCCAAAGGAGGGGTGGAGGACATTAGGTCGCCGAAAGAGGGCGGTCCCCGCGGTCATTTGCGACAAATACGCACCCTTTACATACGCGGACATGCGTTCCTGCAGGGAATCCGCGCGGGACTCTTCCAAATTCGGCGACCTAATGTCCTCCACCCAAAGGAGGCTGGCCGATGAGCACAAAGAGTCAGCCATGTGGCAGGCTCTTTGTGCCAGAAATGAGTAACATAACCAAATGTAAACAAAATGGGACAAAGAGTTAGGCCCGGGTCGTGTCTATATCACGACAGAATAGGCCCGGGTAAGCGCAAATCAAAATCGACATTTTGTCCGGACACTGCTTTCAATCCGCTACTATATATCCGCCTTTCTTGAAGGGCTACGTAATCTCACCACTAACCGACGATTCTTCTAAGGAAATGCCGTGGAAGTTGTCGGTGAAAACAAAAAGATGAACAGGAGAATCTCTGATGTTTTGCATCATACAAACAAGACCTGTCTCCAGCAAGTAGATGGCACAACCTTGTCTTGGAAAATGACTAAAAAATGACGCGATATCGATGTCCACCATCGCGGTCGCCATATCGAATCGATCATTTCGACAGCCAGCTTTCACAAACATTAGCATTGCTGCGCTGGTAGACAAATAGGTCATTGCTTCATCGTTGTTTATTGTTCAATTCAAGAAAACTTTGCAGCAACAAGCATAGGGCAAAATTTTCGTCAACAATTGATCTCCCATGACGCCGATGCAGACCAGTGCCAAGTTTCAAACCGCCTTTGGACGGCTGCCAACAATCCGAGTTTTCTGCCCTGGGAGAGTGAATCTCATCGGTGAGTTTGTGCTTGTTTCTGCAGTAGTCGTTTTCATTTACAATCTATAGATGATAGACTACCTTTTGCGGCAATCTGTTGGGTCCTTCTATCGATTTATTGCTTTGTTTATTATTCTAAGGAATTGTAGGCTTATCATGTTTAAACAAGCATTTTCCCATAGTCACGTAAAGGAGGGCGGTGAAGTTCATTTTCATATATAAAACTCAAAAATTGTCAGTTTGGAGGGTATGTGCGTTATAGAAACGCGCGCCGCTCAACCGATTCAGCTGAAAATTTGCACGCATACGTTTTCGACCCCCTGCGCAGATGATAGACTATATACTTGGGACCGAATCGAATAATTATTCGATCATTCGAATAAATCATTCGAATGCGAATGATTCGAAAAGTCGAATATTCGAAAATCTGAGATTTCGAATAAAATTCGAAAGTCGAATATTCGAAATTTTTTGTTTTCGAATATATTCGATAATCGAATATTCGAAAATCTTCATTTTCGAATATTATTCGAAAGTCGAATATTCGAAAATCTTGAATTTCGAATATTATTCGATAGTCGAATATTCGAAGGTCATTCATTCGATCATTCGATGTCCATCAAATATTCGAATATTCGTCGAGCACCGAATATTCGATAATTCGATAAGAAATGACTATTCGAAAACTCAATAGGCGCCGAATATTCGAGAATTCGATATGCATAGCGTATACGGGGTGTCTTAAAAGTATCTACACACCGTTTGATTGCTAATACCTCTCAAAGTCTTTTGCCAATTTCTGGGTAACAACCAATAGGGATGGCTTCATATTATAAATACAGCAGAAAGCGAATCACCCATGTTATTTTATTGTGTGTTATCACAGTAGGAAACTCCAGCTTCTAGACCAACTGCAAAATAAGACATCCAAAAAAATTGTCCCCAAAAAGGTCTTATGCTGATTTTACTACGCACGAGTTTTCAAGCTTTTCAAATGGCAATCACATTTTTGAAAGGCGTCGCAAAACACTTGTTGCGGTTTATCGTTTGTTCCCCAGCAAAATTTCCATAGGTATCACCACGTCATGTCGCTGCCTTTCGCTATTTTGAACGTGTTAACCTCGGGCATTTCCGTTGAAATCTCAGGAGAAACGTGTCAAAAAGGGCAAAAGGCAGCGTCGCACCACGTACGCAGCTGATTCAGATGGAAACTTTTGTGGGGTACACAGGATACCTGGCGTAGGTTTTGAAAAAAGCATTACGGTTGAGTGCAAATTCTACATAAAGTGAGTGTCTTTAGAAATCTAAAGCAAGACTTCCAGCCCTTTTGATTCTTTTTCTTAGGGAAATGGCTCTTGATGTTTTGAAACCCACTTCAGTCCTACGGTAATTTTACAATAGTGAAAAGCGATTGATAAATCGCCCCATACTCTAAGTTGATGTCAGCCTACAGATCTACATATGTTGGAACCGCTGTATACCCAATCGCAACTCTCAGTGAGGGTATATAATCTTCTTTGAAGTACGAAAAATCTTTTCACAACCGTCATAAGAGTAGCTTGGTTCCTAAGTCTCTCTCTTCACGTCACGACTAAACCGTTTTTCCATCGTAAATTGCACTACAAGAATGTGTCCATTCTTATCATTTACATGAAACAATTTATTCTTAGCGTTTTGGCCTTTCATAGGCGGTCTCAATGATGTAAATTATTCGGTCAGTATTCGAAAATCGAATGATATTCGGAAATCGAATAACATTCGAGAACCGAATAATATTCGAAATTCGAATAACGAATGATATTCGATATTCGAATATTATTCGATTCGAAGTTTTCATTTTCGAATAATATTCGATAGTCGAATATTCGAAATTTCCGATTTTCGAATAATATTCGAAAGTCGAGTATTCGAAATTTTCAATTTTCGAATAATATTCGATAGTCGAATATTCGAGAACTTCGATTTTCGAATATTATTCGATATTCGACTATTCGAAATTTTCAATTTTCGAATATATTCGATATTCGAATATTCGAAAAAAATTTCGAATTTCCCCAAGTATAATAGACTACCTTTTGCGGCAATCTGTTGGGTCCTTCTATCGATTTATTGCTTTGTTTATTATTCTAAGGAATTGTAGGCTTATCATGTTTAAACAAACATTTTCCCATAGTCACGTAAAGGAGGGCGGTGAAGTTCATTTTCACCTCAGAAGATGAGGATGCGGTTTCGAAGCGGATGTCCCAGAAGTTATCCTTAACATGTAAGAGGGGGAGGGGACTTGCAGTGTAAGTGAACAATGGCCCGGGCTGGACCGAAAAAGCTATCATCGACTCCACGATTCGTGTAGAGGCTGGGTTTTGCCAGCTCAAAGCGTGGCGGTTTTTGTTAGCGAGAGAGTATGAAGAACAATGCTATGACGTGGAGGTTTAACAAGTTTACCTGTGTTATCAGACAAAGTCTGCGATACACCTCTACACGAATCGTGGAGACGATTCTTATATATAAAGCTGAATGTCTGTCTGTCTGTCTGTCTGTGTGTCTGTCTGTCTGTCTGTACGTATGTGCGGAATAGAAATTTTTATTTCTGAACCGATTGGGACCAAACTTGGCACACATATACTTCGGGGCAGGGAGCGTGTCATAGGCTACTTTTCGTTATCGATCGATATCGATTTTATCGATTTTTTGCAAAATTCGAGCTAGGGGGCTGGGATTTTGCACAGGGGGGTAATCGAACATGCTGATCACCCCCGCGGGGGTGATCAGCATGTTCGATTATCCCCCTGTGCAAAATCCCAGCCCCGTAGCTCAAAATTTGCAAAAAATCGGTGAAATCGACATCGATCGATAACGAAAAGTGGACTATGACACGCTCCCTGCCCCGAAGTGTATGTGTGCAAAGTTTGGCCCCGGGCGGAGCCGGGTTTGCCATCTAGTAGCTTATAAGTGTCGTATTCCATCAACTTTAATTTGACACTTGTGAAAACATTCGTATTAGGTGCATTTTTACCGTTTATAGGAGGCATTGGTATATAAAAAATTTCATATGATGTCTGGATCAATTATGACCATGCAAAAATTAGTCTTACAAGGGAATGGTCAGAAGTCGAAGTGGCCAATTCATACAAGCTGCATGCCATTAGATGCAGCATAAAACGCTGACTCTAAATCTGTCTTCCTTATCTGCAGAGCGCTTTTATGGACGAAATTATAAGCCGTTGAAGGCCATTATTTTGCTAAGAAATTGGGCATGTAAAGTGCAAACTTAGCCGTACAAAGCCATTCTTAGCTCACTGTCGGACCAAAACTTGCAACTAGGTCACATCATATGACCCGTACCTAGAGTTGAGCTGAAAGGGCAATAATGCGCCTAACTTTGCAATTTTTGTATACGGTTTTTTCGCAGTAAAGCTGCTCATAACTTCACCTACAAAGGCGTTCTGCAGATATGGAAGACAGATTTAAAATCAGCATTTTATGCTGCATCAAATGGTATGCAGCTTGTTTGGTTTGGCCACTTCGACTTCTGACCATTCCCTTGTTAGATTAGCTGCCCTTTCGAAGAAGTAGAATAAATACTTAACAAGTGCCATCTCAATACTTCCTCTCGCCATTTGAGTTTCAAACTATAAGAGTTTGAATGAATGTGAATGTCAATTTAACACTAATTTTCTCACATGTTTTATGCTTGAGATCAAGTGTTGCTTGATGAACAGGAAAACGTTCACCACTTGTGAATCATTCGCGTTTGATCTTTTGGAATGAAATACGACATTATTGTTGAGACATTTTTTCTTATTACTGTTCAACGATCATTACCTCCATCAATCTTTTTTAGGGGAACACATTGATTATCACGGATATGGAGTTCTTCCTATGGCAACAGAATGCGGAACTGAGATTTTTGCATCCCCTAATGAAGAAAAGGTGATACGAATTGCAAATGTTGACGAGGAGTATCCGTAAGTTCCATCATCAAATACGGGGCATTTTTTCACGGAAGGAAATAAACTACAGTGAATACAAGCTGAGTCTTCCCTCGGACTGGTCTGGATCATCGCCACCAAAATGGCACGATTATGTGCTTTGTGGATGGAAAGGAATTATGGAGAAACTCAACTGTGACCAAACAGGGTTTGACCTTATGGTTAAAGGTAAGCTACTCACTTGATATCTCACCTTTTGAGATTAATTATGTTCGAGGCACAATCCCACCATCTTCTGGTCTCTCTAGTAGCTCTTCGCTCGTATGTGCAGCAGCCCTTACAACTTGGATGATTCACACAAAGAAAACATTTGACGGCTTGACGAGGTAATCATACACATCAGTTTTTCGATTTTTCAAAGTAAGATGGAGTTCTAGGGAAGAACTAGCTGACCTATGCGCTGTTGCTGAACACTATATTGGGACACAAGGTGGCGGCATGGATCAGGCAGCAGAGGTACTTGGTTCCTTTTTCTGTTTAGATCCAAATTTGACGCCATAGTTTTTCGACTACTCAATCGGAACGAAAAGCTATTGCATTCCCTCATGTGGTCATCTTTCCAGATTCTTGGTGTAGAAGGTGGTGCGATGCGAATCGATTTTTCACCTCTTCGATCTAGATTGGTTTCATTACCAGACACTGCAAGGTTCAGCGTGCTTCATTGCGGAGTTACATTAAATAAGGTTATCATTTTGTTGCCGTTTTCCTTGCTCTCTTCTCTTTTTGCCACTCCTCAAATGCTATGTCATACTTTTATTGTAGGCTGCAACATCGCATTACAATGAGCGCGTCGTGGAAGGTCGCTTGGCTTGCAAAGTAAGTTTGAACGCGAACTATTGTAAGACCCTCATACATTTTGGTGCCCATTTATGAGCTCTGTAAGAGTGTAGCGTTTGATATCTATGCGTCACAGCATACTAGGCTTGTCTGAGAACTCTAAACGCAGTGTCTCCGCAAAATTTCGTCTTCTAGTTTCTCACATTTTCCGAGCCTTTTCGCCATGAGAAATCCATATCTGGGCTTTTCAGCGCATGAAAATGGTGTAAATGAGTTTTTTCGAAGCTTTCCTCTGCAGTCAGGGGAGAATACGTGTAGGTGGACGGGGCCCGGAACGAGGGAGGCGGGGCGCAAAAGACTTCCGGTGTATCTTCCTGGTGTGGACCTGGAAAGCTTTGGAAAAGCTCGTATTTGCCATTTCATGCGCTGAAAAGCCCAGATATGGATTCTTCATGGTGAGAATGCTCCGAAAAGGTGAAAACTGGAGAACGAAATGCTGCCATGACACTGCCCTTTGAGCTTTTTCGTTCCAGCTGTTGCTCAAAAACGCAAACGCACATACGAAAACTTCTTTGTTGCGATTAAAAGATGTGCAGGTATATACATATTGCTTGTATTGTACATCAGCAAGAAGTAAAAATATTATAGGAAGCTCTACGAAAGTCCCTGGAAGAAATGGTAGCAATGTGTGATTGTTTACCCGTTGAATCAAATCGTGATGAACTGGAAAGTTTGTTGACAAAGGAAGTGGTTGCTGAATGTATCGGCCGAAACGTGGAACTGTGTAAGTTCTTGTATATGATTGCAAATCCTAACACAAACAGAGACTGCATCATTCCTTTCTTATTTCCCCCTTTTTGCAAAAGTACGTTCTTCTGACCAAAGGTTAAAAATTCGAGAATCTTATGATATTTCAGCAAAATTCAAGATACGTTCGAGAGCACGTCATGTGTACAGCGAAGCGCTAAGAGTTGAACAGTTTGAAGAAGCCTGCAAAGCAGGAGAGTTGCAAAAGATGGGAGATTTGATGAACGCTAGTCACGAAAGTTGTAGCAAGGTGAGTATCCACAGATTTTCTGTATCTTATCACTCTTATTGCTGATCATTTGTCATCTGATTCTCCTCACTAATCTTTTTCCAAATTCTGCACATCCTCCTTTTCTAGGATTACGAATGCAGCTGTAAGGCAATGGACGACTTGATAAACCACTGCCGAACTGCAGGCGCCATAGGCGCTCGTCTCACTGGAGCTGGCTGGGGTGGATGTGCTGTAGCGCTCATTGACAACAGGAACCCCGTAGAATTAGGAGAGAAAGTGCTTTTTAGCACTAAGCCATGTCATGGAATGATAGGAGAATTTATCTAACTTATTGCTCATTATTTATCTGTTCAGAACTAACTTACTTCAATGGGTTCGTATCTGTGATAGGTAATAAGAAGTGCCAAGCGCGCTATTCAATCTAAAATTGTAATTTCGCATTCCGCTTGTCAAGTAGTTTGCTTTGAGCAAGATTTTAGATTTCCCGCAGAGTCTGAGACTTTTACTACTGACAGTTTTAACAAATGCATTTCAGCTAACTTCGTAAAATTTATTATAAATGAAACTTCTTTAATTCGCATGCAGTGCTAATATCTCAGATTGCAATGAACTGTTGATATTGATTGAATAGGAGTCAATATAACATCACGGAAACCCATAACGTCAGTCAAATACTATCTATTTAAGGTCAAGAATTACAGAAGAAAACTGGTAATAGGTACACATCAGACACATCACAGGAACAGCGACCACTAAAACACAGTAGTAACTAATAACCGCTAGTAAACGCATCAAAATTCTAATATTCGAGAAGTCACTGGGACATCAGGTCATAAGCAAACGCTCAAGCCAAAGAGGAAAGAGTAGTGCATATCATGGTTCACAACAATCTCGAACGTCTGGAAACATAATTTTACGATTTTAGAAAAAAAAAAACAAAAGCTTAAATATGGCGCACATGTATATTAATCTGCTTTCTATACTCATTCAAACTATGGAAAATCTGACAGTTTTATACGTTTAGGGGATTACAACACAAGGAAAAAGCAAGCGTACCCACGATAAGCAAAACAAAATTTCACAGAAGTATAAGTTAAAACATGATTTGTCATTTGTTTCATGGTCTACGCAATCGCAACATATCACCTCAGTTTAAAAGCGTCCTTGAGTAGCCTGCTGGAATGCAGCGCCTGCAGCTGCTGTTGTGGCAGCGGTAGCAGCGGCCTGCACATTTCTGTCTGCCATAACACCGTTTGTGAATTCCTGGCGAGCCTTGTCAATCGAAAAACCTGCTCCCCTACAAAAGAAGAATGCATGAAGAATCTTGAGGAATAAAAATGAAATGCTAGGAAATACTTGTTAGAGGCTGCATCATACCTGTAAAGCTTGTGCACTCTGATCAAGGCGTAAACCATTCCACAGAATGCTGCAGTGAAGCACAAAGCTGATAACAACATTAACAAAGCAACAGGGATGGAAACTGAAATATAAGTTAAGATGACGACAGAATGGGAGAGGATTTACAAACATCGGTAAAAAAATCAGAAGGAAACTTTAACACCATACAACAAACCAACACACAAATATTTTTTGCTTACCTCCAAATGTTTCAACGGTGTTGATCCAACCACATGCGTAAGAGGATACACCGAGCATTTGCACTAGCGTGAAAAGAGAATGGAAGAACAGCACGAAGAAGAACACCTAAACGACAAAATGATACTGTAATAGGTGAGAATCAAATCCAGAAAAAGCCAAACTGACCATAAAATTGAATGAGGAATCGTTGCGAAATGCTTTGTAGACTGGTCGGAACCAGAACAAAAACGAACATGGTGAGAATAGACATAACTGAATGACGGCAAGAAGAAATTGTCCGACAGGACCTGTAAACAAACACTAGAATCTTATTTGAAACTATGGTACTTGGTCTATAGGGCCATTATCTGGTGGCTAAGAGTTGGTAGGGAAAATAAATGAAAACAAAAGAGATAGGCAAAATAAATGGAAACAAAAGAAAGTTGACATACCACTAGCAAATATCATGTAGAAAAGAGAAGCAACCACGTTCACTATCAATGCAAGCACGTAGATTAAAAAGACGTGGTAGACAATAGTCACGGTTTTTTGAAATTGCACTGGTATTTCGACCTCGATATCCTGAACAGCGTATTATTTCCAAGTATCGAAAAAGTTTATTTCAAATTTACACCTGGTAAAAGCATGGTTCAATTGGAATGAATGTCGGGATTGGAGGCCAATTATGTGGATGCTGGGTGGCTGCTCCTACAGTGCAAGAATATTAACTCAATCTCATCCCTCGAAAGCCTCACCAATAGAACCTGTGTTCATATTTTGCTGCTGTTGTTGACGTCTATTCAGTTCTTCTTCTCGTTGGCGTAGCTCTCGCGACTTTCTTTCAAGTTCCTCTTGCTTGCGGAACAATTCGTCGCTCATTGTGACACTAGTGCCACCTCCAATAGCACCGGCCTGAAATTGTTTTTTTTTTGCTTGTACTTTTTTCCTATGAGAAAGTTATCAACGATAACAACAAAAAAATGAAGTGGAAATTTTTCCGGGAAACCAGTCATGAGTGTGAATATCAATAATGTTACCAGTATGTGGAAAAAATATGAAATTCTGCTCTAGAAACGCGCTCCTTGGGAAAAAGCAGATTCAATCAGCCAGCTCGAAACATTTTTCCCAGAGATGTGACAAACCGAAAGCGATGCTGCGAGCATGTAACGGGAAAGCGCAATTTAACCGCTCATAGATGCCCACAGCTTGAAAAAGTGGCATACGAGCATCTGCGCTATGATTATCCCCTAAGACTGCCTGCCTCAAAAATAGAACAAGCATGTAGTTGAGGCTGAGTGCTCTTGCAGTTGAAATGGACTACACAAGTAGAAAGCGAGTGGCGTGGCTATGCCAAGAAAAAGTGGAAAAAAATCTTGAAAAATTGAACCATTTGAAAAAAGTTAATGTTACATTGTCAAAAGCCTACTCTGAGAACAGAAATTTTTTAATAAGCTTGCGACTTGAAAAAGTGCAGAAAAAGGATAAACTAGCCATTGAAAGCACATACGCTTCTCACTTTCGATTAATCGATAGCGCGCTGTCTTGCATTTAACGGCCTAAATGGAAATGTAGATGAGAGAAGTGAGCGATGAATACGAAAAAAGAATAGTTATGCAGAAAATGTATGCAGCCCGCCGAATTTGGAAAACACTATGCAGCAAGTATAACGAGACGTATGAGAAGACGTATCAAACTCCTAATTCAATAAACTATACTCAGTCCCTTACCTGTGGGCCATTAGAAGTGGCAATTCTGCTCTGATTAGCAAAAGGATTGAAGTCATTTGATGTATCCGCAGAAGCAGCATTGTTCGATGTGTGCGTACCCACGGGTTCCTGAAAAATAAATGAGCTCAGCTCGTCATTTTATAAAAACAATGCATATCTGCAGTGCATTAATCACCCACAACAACATCTTCGAACTTCGCTGGCTGATTAGCGCTTATTTCATTTTGAACCAAGAAGCGGGTTATCATGTCGATAAGTTTAGCTTGACAGATCTCAGTACACTAAGTATATAGGCATAGTGTTCGCCTAAGTGCACTACAAATTGAGTTTTGTGAAGGTAGAGACTGGTTCAGGCATAAAGTGCATCAAGGTAGGGTGGACTTGAATCAGCTCAGCTTTCATGAAGTTCCTATGATTATACTCCAACTAATTCCCCTCCGAAAGTATAAATAGGAAGTCACATATGCGCCACAGCAAAAATTTTGCAAGACTACTATCTAAAGCATGGTTATTATGCTGATGCACGCGTTAAATAGATAAAGCATGAAGCATCATCACATATGAGTTCCCCATCCGTTTTATAAGAACTTCTGTAATTCCCATATCAAAAATTGAAAATTGCATAAAACCACAGGAACTTTGAATTACTAAACGAGAAAACTTAAAAGAAGGAATTCAAGATTGTCTCTCTGAAAGGCAAAACATATGTATTTTTCAAGTTGAGCTATCAGGAACAAAGTGGTTCCTGGCCTAGATTGACTAATTTTCAAAAATAATGGACTCAAATGTAATTTCAGTAAGTGTAGTGCACTTCAAAATAAGCTGTTAGAAAGCAATCGCGACAAATTTCACATATTTAGTAGAAACAAGACTTCACCAACAGACGCTAGACACCTAGCCAACGCCGGATAGGCGAAAATCTGCAGAAACAATTCTACATTCCCCAAAACCTAATAAAGCATGAAGTAGATCCAAACACCCCGACTTACATTTGCAGAAGAGAGTGGTGTATAATTGAGCTGAAAACAATAGCTTGAATAGGAAATCCCATTTTCTCTTCCAAACCACTCACGCTTTAGAACTTACGAGATACACTCGCATTAATAGTGCCACAAAAAATTAGGCCTAAGTATTGCAAATCACGTATGATATGTGAAACGTTGCATATATCACCAAGCAGATGTCATAGCAATCTTTTCCATAGAAAAAAGTCTCAACTTCAAACAAGATCGTGAAATTGGGAAGAGAAAAACTAGGCAGAAATTTGGCAGAAAACTCACTGCGAACGGATCCGCAAAGGGGTTGCTGTTCAACGCCATACTTCAACACACCAAATCCTCGATCCTTCACGAACAGCACCTGGAAAGCTGAGAACATAAATATGGCAAGGTGGTTGTTTTCGAGTTTTCATACCGCGGGCTATAAATACTGCAAAGAACTGATCAAGTGAGTAGGGGCTCGGGTCAGTGAGATCAATGAGAAATGGATGCAGAAAAATGCAGTAATCAAGATATGCAAGTTCTCATTTCGGAGTTTGAAATTTCGTATAACGCGATAGATTTGCACATCACGAGCGAGGACTGATTCAAGCACAAGGCAGAAGTTGACAGGCCCTATTGTATGAATTCTTTCCCAGATGCCCGAACATGGAAAAAAAAACACAAAACGACTGTACTACATGTCTTTTGACAAATAGATTTACCGAGTGGACAGGACATAATTCTAGTATCTATGATTGATAAGTTGGTCGGCGCGTTCTATTTGGTTCCTAAAGAAAAAATCAAAGGGAAAAGAACTTTGACTTACAGAAATTTTTTGCTCTGCTGGAGAAAAAACCCAGGATGCCGAAGCGTTTTATAGCACTTCCAATCAGACTGTTCATCGATTTTCTGAGAAAAGAATTCGAAAAGCCACTAAAGATTGGTGTTGATATCTACGACGATACAATATTTCGAATCCAAAAAAGCTATAGCGCAAATATTTTGCAAACAGGGTAAAATTTTGAACTGACGAGCAAATTTCCAGTCTTATTCAACCGAAAGCAATTGTTTGTATTCCACTATGTAGTATCATCTGCCATATGTAAAAAGTGTGCAAAGCCAAAAGAAGTAAATTTGAGCGACTACGTATACTATCTTCAACTACACTTTTATACCCATGGGGAAGTATTCCACGTTTGTGGAGAAACCTGGAATTATTGACTTCATAAATGCCTAGCAAAGCATACATCATCCAAAAATGCCACTTTTCTCGGTCCAAGAGAAAAAATCTGCGGAAACTGCTGCTTTTTCAACGCGGCTGCTTTTGCTGCAAGCTTAGAACAGCCGCATGAAGTAGGACAGTTTTGCCCTCTACTGCAATAATTTTTCAGCCAGTGCGCTGATAAAAAAAGGAATGAGGCAAAAAATGTGGAAGGATAGGAAATGCCACGAAATTGATAATTTGTATCTATCGCCATTTACCGAGCCACCTGACGCAACTGCACTACAATCTAAAGCACCCCAGATTTGCACAAGAATCCAGCTGTTCTCAAAGTATAACAGACCACAGGAACTGATTTTTCGATTTGCTCTCAGAACGTTGTGAGCAACTGCGCTAAGATAATAGCTAGAGATTGGCCCATAACCTCTTTAGCGAGCTCAAACTCTACATGAAGATCATTTTCTGCACGCAGTATAAAATCGTCCGAACATGTACATATTGTGACCGAAGAAAAAAGGTCCCTAGCGGAATGAAATGATTGTTGCTGAAAAAGATACCGGAATGAGAAGGAACATTTCCTCGGGAAGAGTGATGACTCCAATTAACGATCGATGACAGGCATCTGTCACAAACCCCATTTCCTTCCGTTAATTTATGTTTATGTGCAGCTTGCGATAGGATGATTGAGATACAAAATGTACAGGCAAACCAAACGCTCCTCTATAAGCTGATTTTCACCGAAATTCCGCGCCTGGTAGTATCTATCACTTGGGGATATGATACCATGGAGATGGGCTTGATCAAACAGCGAAAAATACAATAAATATTGAATGTTGGGTCAAAATCATAACTGCAACACTATCAACCCCGTGATTAGGGTGGGAGGCCCGCCATCAGCACCTCAGAATGGAGAACGAATCGAAGTCGGGAAAGTGAAATAGGATCTGCCCCAGAAAAACGGCAATTGAAGGTTGCCACAAAACACCATGGGAAACTTCCATTGTTTTCATGAGGAATAATTGAAACAAAAGTCATTTGCAAATCGAAAGCGTTTTCAAAATCATCTGCACTGAAACTTTTCAAATAAGGACGACTATAACTAAAGGAAGAGCAAATAATGCTGATATGCAGCTGTGCTCGACAAATTTGAACATTGTGATGTTCAGACTGAGTCGCTGAAAAACCATGCAATAATTGCTGCATCGTTCGTTGCACCTGGAACTGTGTTTGAATGTTACGAAATTCCTGTCCGTGTGAAGTTCTACGAGAATATAAAAGTGCAGTTAAAGCGAACATTGGTGAATCGTACGATTTTTACGAAAAATTACGATTGTAAAGTCCAAGAACAAAAGTGATTCGATCCTTATCAAGCAATGGAGGAGATTTATGGGAGATGGAAGAAAAGTAAGGATTCAAGATAGAAAGATAAAAACTCGACGAACATCAAACAGCAATCTGGCGAGAAAAAGGCAAAAAGGTGCTACAATCTGGCGAGAAAAAGGCAAAAATGTGCTGAAATTCGGAGAGACGTCAACATTCAAACACACCCTGGTATAACTTTGAATTCATCTTACCAACGAGAACCAGATGCAAATATCAAAGAAAATCAAAAACATGAGCAAAACAAAAGCCGTGATAACTTCTCCTCCACGGCCCAAATCGAGAAACGGTGCACGTTCAGGAAAAAGCGGTCAATAACTCGCAAAGACCCTCCAGAACTAATTGGGCTTGATGATCCACAAACTAAAAATTAAGGCATCAACTTTTCATTGATAATAGAACAAATCCTCCAGGATATCCACTAGTGAACGAAAATGCATGATGAGAGTCCGATGTTCGTCATGAATCACAATCGTTGGCAAGAGGCCAGGAAACGACACGGAGCGGGTCCTCGCCGGAAGAGGCGACGTCGCCGCGCAGCGACGCAGGGCGGAGCGGCTCTCGACGTCGGCGCTCTGCGGTCGTCGAGCCAAACGCGTTCGTGTGCGGTACAGGTGGTCGTCTGTACGCCCGATGTTCGCCTGAAACTCCGCTGATGAAGATCACCTGGGAGAGCGGCGACTGGCCTGGAGCGTGTGTTGAGCCGGCTATTACTCACCTAGCCTGGGTAGCCCAAGCTGATCGCCCCGGGCATGGTTTGCTCGGGATCGGCTCCGATTCGGGCTCTGTCGGGATCACGCTCACAGATCTGCAACCGACCGAGGACGACAACGGCAGGTACAACTTCAATTTACGTGGACATCATTCGGCTATCTGCATGGTGACATGGAATCGAGTACAATCAAAGCTGGCCTCTTGCGATTCGGCGGGTGTCATCTACGTCTGGGTGCGGAACGATGATCGCTGGTCGGTCGAGCTCGTCAACGACCGTGGAGTGAAGGTGCGCGACCTCAGCTGGAGCCCCTGTGGCTCGTCTGCTCTTATCTGCTACGAGGACAACTTCGTTCTAATCGGCTCTTCCACGGGCCAACGCGTCTGGAGCAATTCCTTCCCTGCAGCCATCACTGTCACCGCAGGCGTTTGGGCTCCGGATTCACGACAATTAGTGTTAGGGTTCGCTTCCGGTACTATCTCAGTGCTATCCGATCAAGGTGCGAATATCACTGAGCGATCCTTCACCAGCGATCCGATAGTGAAATTAGCCAGCTCGCCGATCAATCCGAAGGATGAACGATGGATTCTTGCCATTCTTACCAACGCCAACAAAATCTTGATGATTAGCTCATTCGATCAAATCGACCCGCTTGTCTACGAATCCCCACATTCTGTTATTCAAATGCAATGGAATGCTGATGGTTCGATTCTTGCGCTGATTAATTCTAATCATGAATTGGTTATGTTAGACCGTGAAGCACGTGTTGTACATAAAGAATTGCTGTCGCTGCCAAAGGATAAGCCGCTTTCTGCGCTCACGTGGGCTCACGAAGGACGCGCCATCATTGTGGCTGCTGGAGGTCATTTGGCGATTGGAAAGCTATTGCTAGGAGTTCCACCACTGTTCGACTTGGTCACGTACGAATTATGGCGGTATCTTGGCTCGCAATCGAAGAAAGTTGACTCATTGCCGTTACCTGTGAAGGAGAAAAATGCACTGCGAGCTCTCGATCACCACATAATACGGGTGAGTTCACTTTTTTTGAGTACATTTTCATTTATCGGTTTTCTTTTGACATTCCTCATTTTTACTTTGTTTTGATCATGTAATGCTCGTGTAATCTTTACTGTAAAGTAATTCATTCTGCCCTAAGTCATTCCTTTTCAACAGCTGATCGCAAAAGTCTTTCATTTTTAACCTTTGTTTTTAAGCTTTTTGAGCCGCACGGCAGACGTGCTTTTTGTTGCTCGCAAAACATTCGTTTTTGAGATATTAATTTTTTTTGGCTATTTTTAGCTTAATTTAACCTTTTCTGAACCTATAAAAATTTTACATCTCCAAAGTTCCTTACCATTCACTTTTGTCGTACTTTTTAGTGTCGAATACCCAGAGTTGACGACCTCTGCTCGTTTGTATGTAGTGCCAGCGAAGCAAGATGTTATTGTACAATAAAGCCATTGTCTCGAGGAAGCCATTCATACGTTTTATGTATGGAACATCTTGGGGGATTGGTGCCACTTTTAGTCGGTGAGAGAAGAGTCTTTTGTTTTTTTTTCCTTTTTTTAACGCGGACTTGATTTATTGTCACGTGTAGTGCGTTTTTTCAACTTCTGTTCTTAGTTATTTTTTGGTGTACATCTTATATTGATAATCGACGTATTCTGATTGTGAATGTTCAGGTCGACAAGTGAATCGCTTTCTCCCTCAATTCCATATCTCTTTGCATCCCGCTGATGGGCAAATTCTCTCCACTGGTTCATCCGCTCAAGTCGGTAAGACATTTATCATTTCTTCAGTCATGTGATCATTGTATCGTATATCTTTTCACGTGCTTGATTTTCATCATCGTCACGTCGAAGCTTATCTCAATCGTTTGTTTCCCTGTTTTTTTTTTCTGTTAGCTATGTGTTTACTGGGACATGCTGCCTGTATCGATTTTCTCCAAGCTTCCTCATTACCAAAATAGAATCGTATTATGAAGTAGAGGTAGCAGGCATTATTCTTTCTTTGGTGCGAAGTCGGCTCGGCTGCACTTCCTCGGAATTTGTCATCCACTCTTGAAAGTCTATTCCAACATGTTTTCTATCAAAATGGCTATGTACTAAGCGCGAATGGCACGAAAGTGCACATCCTTCCCACTGAATTATGGTTGTATCTAGTGTAAAGTGCAGCAGAACCCAGACTTTTTGCGCATACGGCAGCTAAGGTTCCAGCTGTCACTCACAGCGCTGCCTATAGGCCGATGTTGTTTGTCACTGATAACGCCTTATGTGTTTGTTTGACATGGAGGCTGTTACGGGTTGCAGTCAGATGATACGCCGGCGAAAATAAGGGGGCATTTGGTAATGTAAAGTTTACATTGAATTGGCGCAAACATTGGATTTTTTCATTATGGGGGATAAATGTTGCAGTTTCTATCGAATTCCACTTTGCCAGCAGCTGTAATTTGGTATTTTAATTATAGTTCATGCCAAAATTGGCTCTTTGGTCCCGTCCCCATTCACTGTAAATGCATAGACAAGACAGCTATTCTAGCTGAATACAAATACATTCGTAGATTTGCGCTCACTAAAAGCGCAGAGGGAAGGGAAACAAATGTGTGCACAAACCATTTTCAATGCGAAATCGTTCTGAGCATGTCAGCAGCTGATCACAAACAATCCTTGAGAGTTAAGAATCGTTTGTGAGTGAGCAAGGGCGCGTTTTTTGTGCATATAGGGCGAACTTGGTGGCGATGATGGTAAACGCACAATCTTTGATTTGAACTGCAATTTTTCGTTCTGTTCCATTTTTCAAGGTTTTTAGTGAGTGAATGCCTTCATGTTTGTTTGCAAAAATGAAATTATATCGCGGCTAAAACGCTGTTTGAATTGACTAGAGTTTTGATTTGATAAGTGTTGAACTGAAAATGAATTGAGATTCTACTCGTGCACAATCTTTTGTGTTTAGCTATGTAATTTCGAAAGAAAGCTCGCGAACATTCATTTACGACTTCGAACTTTCTTTTTTATGGCGCCATAAACATAATCGTGTACTTTAACTAGCTCATTAGTTAGAACGCCGCGATCAATACCCTTCGAACAAGCGGCAGGGGTGGAAACATGTTGATCGATTTAGTTCCGGTTTGAAAAGGCCATATGATTGTCACATCGATTTGGATCATTTGATGTGAAACAGGTTTCGGTGTGATTTGCTTGCACGCAACGTTATGACAGCATTGTTTTTGATACTGATCGAATGTCATGATGATATCCAGAAGAAATGTGGTTAACAATGGTGGTGGGGAGAGGATGCTTTTTTCCAAGGTTAACACGTTGACGACCGTATGCATCCGCGCGTATGCACGCCCTAACTCCCGTTTAGCATTTTTGTGCATCCGCGCATATGCACGCTAGTTTTCTAGGTATAAACGAAAAGTTTCAAGGTAACTTCTATGCAGTAATACTACTGGTAGCCTGATAGTCTTACAGAACACAGGGCATCGCGGCAGCTGTTCAGAAGTTTGGGCCGCAAAATTGGGTAATCAGTCGGTTTTTGGTAAGGTAAACACATGCTAATTACGTTTTTCCGAGAAGGTTAAAACTCTGTAAAGCTGTTTTGAAAGCAAAATAGGATGAATCAAGCAAAAAATACCTGGTTTTACAGCGTTTTTTTTGAAAAGAAATTCCTCCAATATAGCGATTGCGCGGTTATTGGGAGGGAAAATCCACGCAAAAACCTTGATTTAAGTAAGTCCTAGTAAGACTCTGTGATTTACATGTTTCTCTGAACATAGTTTGCATGTTTTCTAAATAAGTGTCAAAAAGACTCCCACATAATGTTTTCGTGCATACGCGCGGATGCACGGGTCAAATGCGCGAAGGACGTTAGTGTGAGTTTCGTCCAAAATGGCGCGGTCGTCAACGTGTTAAATAATGTGGATCTTAGAAGTCTTCATTCTCTTCCTTAAAAGTTTAAAACACTGAATCAGATTTAACACTGTGTTTTTCTTCCTTCTGATTATGCAATTATATGCTCCCTGAGCGAGATATAAGATTATGTTTTTTCTTCTGTTATCATTAGGAGATGGAGTGGAGTAGTTTGTTGTATTCAATTGAAAAACAACGGCCGGCGATGCTATTCGCCAAATTTATGTTGTCGGGGCCTTGCGGGTGGTGAAAGAATTTTCTTTCTCATTTTAAAACTGTTGGGCGGATTTCGGCCGAGAGCATGAATTTTTCCTTTAGGCTTCACAGAGTAGAGATTTATGTTGGTAGGAAGGGTGGGGGAGGGATGGGGGAGAAAAGTATTGATAAGTGGCAGGTTTTTAGGTATTCCGCATTCGTAGTCTACCTTGTATACGTAAAAATTGTGTACCGGGTTTGGAGAATGACTCACTCCATAAGTGAGTGACGGCGTAGGAATGCCAGCTCTATTTGCTATGCAATTCCCTTAATGAGTCCAAACATTGTATGTTTACTTTGACACTAAAGTGGGAAGTATTTACGAGTGCGGAGGCTTGCCGTCGTTATCATATGCGGTCCTGTTTACCTCATGCCATATCGCAATAATCAACATGAGGGAATTGTTCACGAGGAAATTCGGTAGTTTCGAGTCAGCGCAGCTCTTTAGTGAAAAGGGGATTGTGAATTCAGAAAACGATTCATTATAACGCATCATTAGATCTGTGACCCGATTATGTTTATTGCTTATATCATTCACTTTGCAATTCATATCTATCTTTGGATGTTCAATGAACTTGGATTTTTACAGAAGACCTTTCCATCATTCCACGAACGTCAAATGGACGGAATTCTTTGTGGAGAAGAAGCAAGAGGCAATTCCGAGCGCTTATGTCAAGGTGCGGCAAGTTACGATTATTGTGCAAACTTTCTTCCTTTATTACTATTTTTTTATCTAGGCATGTTCGTCCACCACGACCAGATCTTCGGCTGGTGCAAGTCTCGTCAAACGTTTGGTGTACACGATTTAGCATCACTTCAATGTCACCCAAGCACTTACCAGAATTTCTGGGACAGGTTTGTGGAATCAGAATTTAATCTTGACCTTTCGAATAATCATCTGTTTCGGCACGCACTCTGCAAAAAGGTCGTAGTAAAGGCTCAGGGTTTCATAGGACTCCAAAAATGCTTACAATTCTTCTGTTGTCATATGTCCCACTTTGCATATCATTCTCAGCAGACTTCAATAAATGGAACACCATCAGCAGGTCATAGTGACTACTTCAGGTTGTTTATAAGACATCGGTGCTCCATCTTCAACCTCGTCAAATGACAATAGACATGGCCGTACTAGGAGGAACGCACGATCGGACTAGTACGTAGCAGCTTTTGTCCACTTTTCATTTTTATCATAATTTTTTGTCTATTATGCATGGCAATCAACAATCACTACTTTCTGATAGATGTGTTTACAGCTTCGTTATTGCTGAGTTCTCGCACTACCTCATCATGCACCTCACCGGCAACAAGTGAAGGTGACATAGATGACTTAGCAGCACTGGTGTCTCAACAACGACTTCGCGACAACGATGGTTTGACTCGCGAGGAGCGAGCATTTTTCGATAGAGTAAGTCTAAGTCCTTTCTTGCTGATTTCTGTCAGACCAGATTATAGAACGTTGCAAATTTGTTATCTTTCCTACCGATGCAGTTGCATTGTCATTTTTTTCACATTGAGCAAGATTGAAATACATGTTGTCACAAACTTTGATTCTTGTCTATTCTCACGAATAGTTTTTTGAGTAAATTTGATGATATTTACTTTGAGTTCAAGTGAATTCTGCAGGTTGTTTCTGAATGCACCTCCTTGCGTGCGGCGATGGATGCTGGAGGGCTTGGTACGTCATACTCTCAAAGCAATTCACAGGTAAGTGATGATAAAAAAAACACGAGTACACTTGAGATTGGTGCATCATGTGTTACAAGAACGCCTACATTATGATATTGAAAGTACATCTTCAGGGGACAACATCAAAGGACGAATCATCACCTGCGCGCGCTGAATCACGACTAGATGACTCGGAGCAGACAATGAGCACTACAAGCACGTGGCATGATGAGATCGACTCGCTAGAATATATCGGTATGTAATGTATCACTGTAATATGTATCACTGCTTAACATTGTGAAGAATTCATGCGGATTTGCGTGACAGTTGTGTTTTGTGTTCGTTCACACAAATTCAGTGTTGCCCCATTCCCTGAATTTCTTATCAGCTAGTTCTGTTGTTGTCAGATGGAGCAGACGATCACGATCCGCTTATACCTGGCACATCATCTGCTCCTTCCGTGCCTTCTGCTTCTGCGCCAACGACATCAGTGTCAAAAACGGGTCAGCAACGGGAGAGTGACGATATCAAGGCACACCTTGATAAACTCGCTCGAATCGCTGGCCAACTTAGCCATCGTCATGCCGACTTCAATCCTGTGCGTTTGTTTCTAGTTCTCTTTTTATTTTTGTGATTGGATTATTTTTGAAGTTCCTTTATTTCAGAAACGAGATAGGGCCTCCATAAACAAAATGCGTTCACAAATGAAAGAATTATTAAGAAGGGTTAACGAAATAGAGAAAAAGGTTTGCGAACACAACCAAATAAGGCGTTACCATAAGTATATTTTAAGGTTGGCACTGGAGATGTACGAGGGGAAGTTCGACAGCTGATGCGTACGTTGGAAGAGATGAAGAGTGCACTAGGAGAAAGTCCCGCTACTAAGTCAACTGCGGCTACGCCGATATTAACTATGCATAACAAGACGCCTTTCTGGAACGAGCACAATCAAGTTTATCAAGTGGGTTTTGTTCATATATACAAACCAGTTTTTTACTTGGTATATATGGAGCTTAGAGGATCAGATTTCACCAATTATTTTTTGTACTCTCATATTTACTGTTATCGTATTACATTGGTTTTACTGACATGAGTACGTAAAATATATCCGTACTAGTTTTTCGCAAACAGTATAGGGACCCAGCAGCGCGGGTGGTTTCAAACTACCAAGGATTGTTGATTCAGAATTTGTTTACTTCTTTCGTTCATTAATGGTATTCCACAACAGTGGTAAAAACATTTTGACCCAGCAGTGAACAATGTTTACTATTACAGTTGGACTTTGGGGGTCGTGTCACGCAGGAATCGGCCAAGAATTTCCAGGTACGTCTTTACTTTTGATAGTTCTGCCTGCTTAAAGTTTTGTTCGAATTTGAAGTTTCGTCCGAATTTGACCACTTGTAGGTAGAGATGGACGGAAAGCAAGTGCTTCAGTTTGGGCGAATCGAAGGTGGTGCGTACACCCTGGATTTCAAACGGCCTTTTTCTGCAAGTCAGGCTTTTGCTGTTGCGCTGGCAAGCATCACACAAAGACTGAAATGATTTTCTTTCAAAATTATATTATTGTTTCGTTATACATATCAGAGTTACTGCTCTTCAGAACTTTTCATTGTTCTCGTTAGCAAAATTTCTTCCCCTTTCCTTTTTTATATGCTTGTGCCCAGCTGAACGAATCGGTTGTGATCGTGATTACCTGCGACTAGCGTTCCTCTTACAGTTCATATGTCTGTGATGTCACTTTTAAAGTGTATGGTATCGAGTCTATCGTCATTGCAGCACTGCCTTCCCCATTCGAGGAAAGCATCTCCGATATCTTGTATTTCAGAGTCTATCCACTCGACTATTCCCTAAAAATGTGATCAGTTCTTCTTTTTATCAACCTTACTTATATATCTGCTTATTCTTCTTGTTTTTGCATTATTTGAATCAAATCGATGACTCTCCAAGGGTTTATGAAGCAAAACATGCTTATACGTAATACTTTGAAGATTCTTTCATACCGCACACAATTGTGCTGCTTTTATCCTCTTTAGGATAATGTCTCAAACAATGAAACGCTCGATTTGTAAATAGTTATGGATTTTTTTCAAACATAAAGATGAAAATCTCGACGCGTATGCCCATGAACATGGTTGGACAGATGTGTTGATCGATGAGCTAGTGCAAATATTGACTTACACATTAGTGGGATTGTTGCTGTAATGTTTGCCCATCTTCCGTTGTTCGCTGATAAAAAAAAAATCAACAGGTAGCAAATATAGATGCAATGAATGAATGAATGAGGGCGTCTTTGATTTTTTTGCCATAGAATGATTTGATCATACCACAATGGTTATGAAACGCTTATATTCGTCGCCTTGAGATTTCGATCCACTTATTACGGTAAAAACCGTTCCCAAAGCGTTGTAGTCATGGTCCTGAATTTTACTAAAATCTAACATCCTTACTTAATATGCACGATACTGCTTCTCTTCTTAGAGTAAACTACGTTTTCAAATGGAAATATTTACTTAGATTTGTCCTCACGTTCTGCATGGCCAGCATAAAAGCCCTAGGCTACTGCATGACGAAGGCGCAATATCTTCGGGGGCGAACGCGGGTTTATCAGCCGCAGAGCGCATGAGTTGCGGGATATACAACGGTGAGGATACGAGCATCGCGTTCGCGCTCGCTCAACTAGTACCGCTTCTGCGCCTTCGTCATGCAGCAGCCTTTACCTATGTCCTTTTCGCCCCTTCGAAGATCTACTATCTTCTTGGTCGTCGGTGGCTGCTCGACGAGCCAAATGTGAGAATGATACCCAGCTAATTTTTCAGCTTGTATTATACTTTGGTTCGGCAAGGAATCCACTCCCAGGGATGTCACTCAACTTAGTATCGCGTTTCAAGATGAGATATATATTTGGAATCAGCTTCGAACATCCAATCATGCTATTTCTAGCTGCGGCACAGTACTGTGGAGGGAGTTATTGATTTTTAACATGCAAAATCTGCATACTCTTTGACCTACTGGCATTACGACATCATCCTCAAGTCTAATTGACTGCATAAAGTCTCTCGTCAATTACAAAAGACTAATCTGATATAATTTTAGTACCCCAGCACCGTTTTTAGGCAGATTTCCCTCTACAGGCAGCCCTACCATTGGAAAAGCATGGCAATTTCGCGACTCGTACCTATAGTTACAAATGGCTGCGAAGAGCGCGCCCCATGACCGGGTGGAGGACATTAGGTCGCCGAAAAAGGGCGGTCCCCGCGGTCATTTGCGACAAATACATCACCCTTGTACATGCGCGGACATGCGTTCCTGCAGGGAATCCGCGCGGGACTCTTCCAAATTCGGCGACCTAATGTCCTCCACCCCCCATGACCCAATGCAAATTTGACCGGCGCGCAGAGAGTTTGGTGTCGGAGCATGCAATTCAGGCGCAGATGTCTACTATTTAAGCTATATAGGCTAACCAGTGAAGATTCCGATCGATGACATCTTATCAATGTCACAGAACGAGTTGGTGAGGATGTCGTTGGTGATTAATCTTGTTTGTGAATTTTTTGCATGGATTTTATTGTGCGACCTTTTTCTGATAGTAAGTTTTTGTGCAGCATAACTCCGTTTCTTGATGCTAAGGGTTAAGGAATTGTACAGACCCGTAGTTTTTGCTTTGGCTTGTGTTTTGAAGACAAATCTGGTTTCCCTTTTTTGCGTACTCGATGAGCAAATTCAGAATCCACATCTCGTTTTCTGTACTAAGTGGACGGTATCTGCATGCTATAAAATAATCAACAGCCGTGAAAGGTGGACTCTCTGCTCAGCAACTCAGGATTTCTTTTCATCTATCACAAAAATGAAAGTCAAAGAGGCCTATAAAGCATAAAACTTGTGACGAAAGTTCCTTCAGTTCATTATACTGCATGCATAATATTTTTGGTTATGACATTATGGAAAGCTGTTTTATCCTCGCTGCGTCGCGATAGCTACCTAAGGAATGCACTCAGATGAGGAGTGATTCAATATCTGAACCAAATAATATTTCTCACAGGCCGTAGCCGTACTTATGCTTTTGTACACGTATCCATTGTGAGACATGAACGAAGACTAAGTAGCGAAAATCGAGTGACAAGTAGTCAACTGGGAAGGGTGATAGCGCTCTACCTGAGTCAGAGGAGGAGTGAGAGGCAAAGAAGCCTACCTAAGCTGCCGAAAACGTACACAGTGATTTACACAGACAATTAAGCTATTCGAAGTCCATCTGAACTTGAAATGCTCATCCGCAAGACTAGGTACCCATTTTGGGAATAGAAAACTCGAAAACGCTTGTATATACAAGTTGTAAACATGCTCGAATTGGTTTTATCCGTGTGATCTATCATCAAAGATGAGATATTTCAAAAGTGCTTTTCAAATCGAAGCGTTTTTTAATCTCCTAGTCTTTGAATGAATGATCCTTACCTCATGACACTTCGATCTGCAGCTTCCTTCTTCTTACGGCTGTTGTATGAGAAACATGTTCAGTAGGAAGCCCCCTCAGTTTAGGAAACACATCATTACTTTCTTACCCGTGCTAATCTTGAGGCATCCTATTAATGAGGGATGTTTTAGATGGCAAGAGATGAAAGGTAAGATCATTGCACGTCACAACTGCACTTGTTTCTGGGATTCTCCTGCAGAAAGGAGTCGTTTTTCCTTCAGTTTCACTTGTTTCGCGCTGAAAGTTATAGGGTGTGCGCGCTTAATTGCTAGGGTTGCCGCGCGGAATACAGATTTGCACTGGGACAGGGGCGCGCTCTTCGCAGCCATTTGTAACTATAGGTACGAGTCAATTTCGCGCAGAAAAAACCGCATGACTTCCTTCAGAAGAATGGCAGCTAGGAACAGCATGTTTGGAATCAGCGTTCGAAGCTGATTGCGAATATATGTGTTATTCAGACGCGATACTAAGTTAAGTGACATCCCTTGTCAGATGTGCTTGCCCATCTGTCGTCTGTTCCTTTTACGATGTAACCCATTCGAGTTTTGCTTTGGCGACGCATCTCCCTGAATCACGAAGACGCGTCCTTCTTGAATCTCTGCACTGCGATGTCCTACCAGATGTTGCTTGTGAATCGGAATTCCAATTCCGCATCGCAAAGGGCGCTTTCGTGGACTGAGTTTCTTCGATTCAATCGCAGTCCGTTCTTCTTCCCTAATTTGTTGGGTACTTTCATCATTTTCATCTAGCCTCTGCTTCAGTGATACTGCTCGAAAGAAGAACGGTGTCGTCCGCAAAACAAAAGTTTGAGAAGGATTTTCCTCGTGTATGCGTCCCTTTCTCCAGTCCACTGACGTCAATACCCATTACCGCGGTAACAGTGGCGTAATGGTATTGCCATGTGAACCCCTACCACGACTGGGATGGTCAAAGAGCGATAGAATGCCGTCGTAATACCGCATCGTCGTTGTACGTCCTAGCACCCGGCTAAGGTTCTCACACATGCTGTCCACTCCTTGATCAACTAGCGCTGATAGAATGGCTTCGGTTTGATGGTGTCAAAAATTTTTTTATAGTCGATAAAGGTTAGGACGAGAGGAAGGCGGTTCTCTCGGCAGGTTTTTATGACCCCGAAACCGTCTGGAGTGATTCTTACTTCTTTATTTCCTTATCTCAATCAATAACAATCAACTAAACACCTTTTTCGAACAGAATAGACTAAGTAAAAAAGACATCCAAACATGGAATAAAACGGATACAACGAAAAAGGATGCAACAAAAGAAATACAAGCAGAAAACAGAAACCCTTTAGGATGACAAGAATATCTCCCATTTTATTATGAGATCATCTGTTTACGCGATCTCAGATACTCTATGAGATAACGGCAGAAAGTTGTAGATGACAGTACCTGAACAGTCAAGATACTAAAGCATTCCAGATCATCTGCACACTGCATATGGCATTGCTTATACGATGGAAGATTGGTTTTCGATGCGTTGAAACCGTGACCCCTCGTAATTGGTACAATATGTTTGCTCAAAAATATCGTGCGAGTCGAAATCGAGTTCATTTGTTGTAAGCTTGTACATAGGTAAAATTGGCAAAAATCTTTTATCCTCTAAAGTAATTGCTTAAGTTTCTTCGGCTCGGCACTATATGATAACCCAAAAATACCGTTCCGGGCAAAAATCCCTCTAAGGAGCTACCTAACAGACTAAAACCTTGCCTTTGATGTAATCTCGATGTAATCATGGAAATCAAATGTGCTTGAATATCGAAGGCCTAAGTCCCGAATCAATTGAAAGCGGTGCAGAACAGAGCCATCAAGTCTGAAGTCATATTCACGGTGGGTTTTCCCTAAGCCCATAATGGAGATCTATTCGTCCGAAATACTGAGTCCCCAGGGCGCTGACCGGCAAGAGAATTTATGGCGTTTTGCAGCGAGGGGGCATCCTTAAAGGCAGTGTCTGGACCAGGTTGAGGTTTTGGATTTTACAATCGCGTAAAAGTAGCCGCCCTGACATATCCACCAGCCCAATCGAGGCGAGAAGGGCGTTGGAAAACGCTCGATTTCGCCGTTTTCATGCCATCTAAAGTGATTTTCGTCAGCGCATTGGATAACCCCAGGTAAGCGAAAATTTGACTAGGGTGAGATTTGCCTAGCAACTGCCTTTAACCTCGGCGGCAGGCGTCCATATTCAAAATCATATAACTAGTTTTTAACATTTTCGTAGTCTGCAAGCCGCTTTTTCGGAACCAGCGGGAAGTAAGCCGAGGTAAGCGGAGAAAATTTACTCGACATCTTGTCAGGACGTTGCGTTCAACGATATATATCTTAGAGTCCTCGGCATATATCGAACAAACTGTACCCCCAAGAAGTGCCTCCGGGAGATCATTTATGTATACAGAATAAGGAATAAGAGAACAGATCCTTGAGGTACGCCGCTGGTTGTAGCGTTGTTGATGACTACAGACTTTCGCCTTTGGCGCGTGTTGGAGAGTAACATTTGTTGTTTTGTTTTGTGTCGTTATTGGCTTGTGATCTCTAGGATCTATTGGTATTGTGTTGACCTATGCGCAGGATCTGAGCGTTATATAAGGCGCTCCCTGCTAGCTAAGTCATTCGTTCGTCTTGTCTTATC